GAAACCCTCAGGGGGGCCCCAGGGGCCCCCGCTGGGTCCCCAGGGGCCTCTAGGGGCCCCCGGGGGCCCCCATGGGCTTTGTATTAGGGCCTACTTTTATAGGGAGACAAATTATGCTGGGGTGGGTCTTGAGGGCCCCCCAAAGCCTCGGGAAGAGGGGGGCCCCCTGGAGAGAAGCAAAGGCAGCAGCAGCAAGGGGGGCCCCCAGCAGCAAGCTGCAGAGGGCAGTCAGCAGGGCCTGCGCAGCAGCTGCAAACCCTAAACCCTAAACCCTAAACCCTAAACCCTAAACCCTAAACCCTAAACCCTAAACCGCATTCTGTGCACACCCGGGGCCCCTCACGTCCTTCCTAATAAAGGCAAAAGTAAACATATCCAGCAAATCAACTACAAACGTGGGGCCCCCCTTGGGGCCCCCTGGGGCCCCTGGGGCCCCCCCGGGGGCCCCCTGGGGGCCCCGGGGGCCCCCAGGACGGCGGTTTGTACAGGTGGCGCTGCGTCTCGCGGTTTTGTTGAGGGTTTAGAGGATTAAAAAGTGGGAAATTTGAAATTAAAATGAAAATTGGGAAATAAATTTATATTTATTTTTATTTTATTTGCAAACTGGACCCTTTTTGGCTTCGCGGCGCCGCTGCACGGCCGGTTCGGGCAAAGGGGGCCTCTGTTGCCCGTGTCTTTCGCAATTTGTTGATTTAATATTTATTTATTTATTTATTTATTTTTATTTATTTTTATTTATTTATTTTTACTCTTTTTTGCACATCAAAAGGCCCCCAAACGCCCCAGAGGGGCCCCCCAGCCCAAACCCTCCACACACCTGCTGCCGACAGGGGCCCCCAGGGGCCCCCGGGGGCCCCCAGACCCTTCAAACCCTTTTCTGGGGCCCCCCGGGGGCCCCAGGGGCTGCTTCTAATGCCAAAATGGGCCACTATTTCTCTGGGCCCCTGCATCAGCAGCAGCAGCAGCAGCAGCAGCAGCAGCAGCAGCAAGAGGAGGCCCCGGGGGTTGAAGAGAGCATCCCTATAGACCCCGAAATCCTAGATGAGCTGCTGCTCAATCTGCACTACTTGCGGGCCTTTGGGGGCCCCCCGGGGGCCCCCCCCAGGGGCCCCCTGGGGGGCCCCAGGAGGGGGGGCCCCCCGGAGGGTACTGGCCTCCTGGGGAAGAAGTTCAAAAGCCTTTTCCTAGCTAAGGGGGGCCCCCATGGAGTTGTTTTGAGTCCAGGAGACAGATTTGCTGTTTCTGTTTCAGGATTTTGTCTTCTCGTTTTAATTTTCATTTCAGTTGTCAAACTTTCTCAAGTCCTTCGAAACAAGGTACGCTGGGGGCCCCCAAGGGTCCTGGGGGCCCCTGGGGCCCCGGGGGCCCCCCCTAGAGGGGAAGGTCAGCAGAGGCAGTGAGGAGAATGAAGAAGCTTCCGAAGGGGACAGCGGGAGTCTTCAGGGGGCCCCCCTTGGCGAAGGTACCCTGAGGGCCCCCGGGGGGCCCCCCGGGGGCCCCCTTGGGGGCCCCCTGGGGGGCCCCTCGGGGGGCCCCTCAGGGTCCAGCGGGGGCCCCTCGGACAGCGGCTCTGGAGAACTGAGCAGCAGCGAGCAGCAAAAGCCCAGGGGCCCCCGAAGGGGGCCCCCCAGAGGGGGGGCCCCCCGAGAGGGGGGCCCCCCCAGGGGGGGCCCCCTCCGGGGGGGCCCCCGTGCGGGGGGCCCCCTGGGGGGGGACCCCTACAGGGGCCCCCTGGGGGGGGGCCCCCTTGGGGGGCCCCTGCGGGGGGCCCCCCAAAGCCTTTTGAATGCAAATCCGAAGTTAAAGAAAGAAGAAAAGAAGTTGAAAAAGATGCAAAGGGCCCTTCGGCGCATGCAAGTTGAGGGGCCCCCTTCTTGGGGCCCCGATGACTTTGTTTTGGGAGTTATTTCGAGACTTTTGGACTTAAATGGAATTGGAAGACAACCGGAAGTTTGAAAAGCGATTTGCGCTGCAATTTGGGGTGTACAGACACCCCAGGGTGCATGCAGCGCGAGGCGTTTGTTCAGGTGTACAGACACCCCAACACGCATGCAGACTTCTTTTCTGGATTTGCTAACTTGCTTTATTTATTTATTTATTTGTTTATTTATTTATTTATTTATTTATTTGTTTGTTTATTTATTTACTTATTTGTTTATTTATTTATTTGTTTATTTGTTTGTTTATTGATTTACTTACTTCTTTATTTACATATCTGTTTGCCTATTTAGTTATTTAGTTGTTACTTATTTATCAGCTTGCCTGACTATTTATTTATTTATTTATTTATTTATTTATTTATTTATTCATTTATTTATTTGTTTATCTATTTATTTTTTTATTTACTTATTTGCTTCTTGTTTATATAATTGAACATTTATTTAAATATATTTTCTTCGTTTTTGAATTCAAATTTAAACAAGTTTATCTTTTGGAATTCTCAAATTGAATTTCTTTTGCGAATTTTTATTTTTGAATTAAATTTATTTTTAATTTTCTTTTACTTTTTTTTAATTTCCAGCTTTTGGAACTTTCAAATTCTTTTCCTTCTTGCGCTTCTTTTGTCCTTTTTCTTTTTATTTTATTTTTTCTTCTTATTTTATTTTATTTATTTTACATTACTTCACTTCGTTATATTTATTTATTTTATTTATTTTATTTTATTTTTACTTTTTCAAATTTAAAAAAGAATTTGAAACAAAAATTAAAGCTGAAAATTCGAGTTTCTGAAAGTGCCAAAGTTCGATTTTGTGATTTTTGTTTTTTCTAATTTTTAAATCTTTTTAAAACTTTTAAAACTAATTTTTCAAAAGTTTTTTATTTTTATTTTTATTTTCAATTTCTAATTTTTTTAATTTTCGTTTCAAAACTTCTTTTTTTCGCATTTTCGTTTTCCTTTTTGTCTTTTGCAATTTTTCATTCATTTCTTTTTCGTTCTTTCAGTGCTTTATAGTTTTTTTAATTTTCTTTTATTTCTTTTCAATTATTTCTTTTTTTTTTAATTTTTAAATTCTTTTTGAATTCTTTTCCTTCATTTCCTCCAAAGTTTTCCTCTTTTGGAAAAAAGGCCCCAAAAAGGCGAAACAAATTAACAAATTAAATGTGCGCAAATCTTTTAATTCATTTTCATTTCATCTCCGAATTTAATTTGCATAATTCCTTTAATTCAATTTCACTTTTTTTCATCCACCAAACAAATCCTTTTAGCCATCCAAAAAGACCCAAAGGGGCCCCCCGGGGGCCCCTGAAGGCCCTCAAGAATCCTCAGATGGCCCTGCGGGATCTCTTTGGGGCCCCCCGGAGCCTCCTTGGGCCCCCCGGGGCCCCAGGGGGCCCCCTGGGGCCCCCCGGGTCCCACAGAGGGCCCCCTGGGGCCCTCTAGGACCCTCCAGGTCCCTCTAAAGCCCCCGGGGGCCCCTGCGTGGGGCTCCAGAAGCTCCGGGGGCCCCCTGGGGGCCCCTGGGGCCCCCGGAGCCCCTGGGAGTCCCCCGGGGGGCCCTTAAATTGGGTCAAATTCTGCCTTTTTTGGCCTTTTTTGGATTTGCTGCTTAAGAGAAGGAACTTCGATAAATGGAAAGAATAATATGCAAAAAAATTGAAGTTTTGAGTTATTTAAACCCAAAAAAGGGCCCCTGGAAGATGCCCTGAGCTGCAGGGGGCCCCCATTGGGGGCCCCGTCGTAGAGGCCCCAACAAGGGGGGCCCCCGGGCCTCCCTAGCCCTCTTTTTGTCTCATTTTGGCGAATTTTAGCCAAATAAATTGTTTTAAAAGTTAATAAATATTATTTTTAAATAATTTGTTCTATTTAACTGTTTATTTGCGCGAAAAAGGGCCCCGGGGGGCCCCCTGGGGCCCCCTGGGGCCCCCGGGGCCCCCGGGGCTGAGAGGGTGGGGCCCCAGGTGTGGGGCCCCGATGCTGCTGCTGCTGCTGCTGCTGCTGCTGCTGCTGCTGCTGCTGCCATTTAATTCTTTTGAATTTTGTTTTCTTTTGAATTTAAAAAAAGACTTTTGAATTTAATTCAATTAAACTCTTTTGGGGAAGTCTGCTGCTGCGTTTGAGCGGGCTGCTGCTGCCCCACAGCTGCTGCTGCTGCTGCTGCTGCTGCTGCTGCTGCTGCTGCTGCTGCAGTTCGAAGCAGCAAAAGCCTTTTCCGCCCCTTTTTCTTTTTGCTGCTTCTCTGGGGGCCCCTATTACCTCTTTTATCCTTTTTTGTTCTTTTCTTTCTTTTAATTTCATTTTAATTCCATTTTATTTCTTTTTATTTCTTTTTATTTCTTTTATTTCTTTTATTTCTTTTATTTCTTTTATTTCTTTTATTTCTTTTTCTTTTAAATCAAAATGGGGACAAAAACCAAAAAACTCAAAAAGGGAGCAGCAGCTCAGTACATCACGAGGAGCCAAGCCCTCAAGAAGCTGCAGGTTAGTGCTGCTGCTGCTGCTGCTGCTGCTGCTGCTGCAGTTGCTGCTGCTGCTGCTGCTGCTGCTGCACTTGCTGCTGCTGCTGTGCTCTAGCAGCAGCTGCTGCTGCTGCGGATTAAAGGCACAGCCATTTGCTGCTGCTGCTGTAGCTGCTCTTGCTGCCGTTGATTGCCTCTTTGCTGCTGCTGCTGCTGCTGCTGCTGCTCAACTGCCTGCTTTCGCTTTTGCTGCTGCTGCTCTGTTTCCTTTAGCTGCTGCTGCAGTCTTCATCTGCTGCTGCTGCATGCCGTGCTGCTGCCAGTCTCCTGCTGCTGCCGTTGATGCTCATCTCTCACACCTCCTCTTGCTGCTGCTGCTGCTGCTGCTGCTGCTGCTGCTGCTGCTTAAATAAATAACTGCTAGTTTAGGGAATTATTATTTAAATTATTATTTATATTTTCACTCTTTTGATTTTATTGTTTTGATCTTCATTATAGTGCCATTGTTTGTTAATTCACTTGCATTCATTTAACTGTTTATATAGCTAGCTAGCCAGTTTATATAGCTAGCTAGCCAGTTTATATAGCTAGCTGGCCAGCTAGCCAACTCCCCTAGCTAGCTAAGCAGCTCCCCTAGCGAGCCAGGCAGCTGGCTAGCTAGCTAGCTACCCAGCTATCTAGCTAGCTACCCAGCTAGCCACCCAGCTAGCCAGCTAGCCACCCAGCTAGCCACCCAGCTAGCTAGCTAGCCACCCAGCTAGCCACCCAGCTAGCTAGCTAGCCAGCCAGCTAGCCACCCAGCTAGCCAGCCAGCTAGCCAGCTAGCCACCCAGCTAGCCAGCTAGCCACCCAGCTAGCCACCCAGCTAGCCACCCAGCTAGCCAGCTAGCCAGCCAGCTAGCTAGCTAGCTACCCAATCATCTAGCCAGCTAGCTAGCCAGCCAGCTACCCTACCAGCTAGCCAGCTAGCTAGCCAGCTAGCCAGCTAGCTACCCAATCATCTAGCCAGCTAGCCAGCCAGCTAGCCAGCCAGCTAGCCAGCCAGCTAGCCAGCTAGCTAGCCAGCCAGCTACCCTACCAGCTAGCCAGCTAGCCAGCCAGCTAGCCAGCTGGCTAGCTAGCTAGCTAGCTAGCTAGCTGTTGGCGTGTGCGCGCAGTTGTCTCTGTCGAGTTTCCGGCGGGCGTGCATCTTGAAAGGCATTTCTCCGCGAGAGCCTTCGGGGAAGTTTTCGAAGAAAGAAATTTATTACCACAAAAAGGATTTGCTGCTGCTGCAGGGGGACTTGCTGCTGCTGCAGTGGCTGCGGGGCGCAGCAGCAGCAGCAAAAAGAGTCCGCAAAAACCTCCGAAAAGGACTTAAACAAAAAGCCAAGTTTGCAAAAAGACAAAAAGTCCAGCTCCCGCTGCAGCAGCTGCTGCAGCAGCAGTTCCGCAGCTTTGCTGCTGCGCTGCAGGGGCTGCAGGAGGCCCTTTCGCTGCTGTTTTTGCTGCCAAGTGCGCTTTTCTTTCTTTTCTTTTTCTTTTCTTTTCTTTTTTATTCTTTTTTATTTTCTTTTTCTCTTTTTCTTTTCCCAAACTCCGTGGCTCTCCCAAACCCTTCGGGTCCCTTTTTTTCCAGCAAAAAACACCCCAAAACCGCCGAAATCCACCCCAAAACCACCTTTTAGGGTTTAGGGTTTAGGGTTTCGGGCCGCCGGCTTTTTCGGGGGGGTTTCTAATTTTTTAAATGTTTTTAAATGCAATTAAAATGATTTTTAAATGCAATTAAAGTACTTTTTAAATGCAATTAATCGTTTTTAATTTATTTATTTGTTTAATTTATTTATTTGTTTATTTATTTATTCACTTATTAACTAATTAAATAATTGATGAATTAATTAATTAATTAATTAATTAATTGTCTCTAAATAAATAAATGTCTCCAAATAATAATTTGTTTGTCTTTTAAAATTAATTTGTAAATTGTCTTTTATAATTAATTAACTTATAATAATAATTCGACATGTAACAATGTAATAATAATTATTTATTTATTTTAATTTATTTTAATTTATTTTGATTTAATTTAATTTTATTTTATTCCATTTTATAGTGCGTTCTTCATTTTCTTATTTTTTCCTTTTCTCCTCTTTTCTTCTTCTTCTGCTGCTGCTGCTGCTGCTGCTGCTGCTGCTGCTGCTGTTTTTCCGTCCTGGTTCAGAACTTTGCGAGTTTGTTGAATTTGGAGATATTTTTTTGTTTTTTAAACCAATTAAATAAAAACAAACAAAATAGAAATAAAAATAAAACAAATAAAACAAATAAAAGAAAGAAATAAAGAAAACAAGTCGAAACTCGCGTTGCGGTGGTCTTGCTGCTGCTGCTGCTGCTGCTGCTGCAGGCCTCCCGTGCGCAGCAGCAAGGGGCCTCCCCGCGGGGCAGCAGCAGCAATGCCAGCAGCTGTGCGACTTTTTTCTTTTATTTATTTCTTTTTTTAAATGTTTGAGAAAGTCTTTTATTTCCATCAAAGGATTTTACTTCCAAGTTCAACTCCTCGGAGTCGACATCGCCTGGATTATCCCCCACAGCTTCGCCCAGGTCTGCTGCTGCTGCTGCTGCTGCTGCTGCTGCTGCTGGTAGTGGTGCTGCTGTGCTGCTGCTGCTGCTGCTGGTAGTGGTGCTGCTGTGCTGCTGCTGCTGCTGGTAGTGGTGCTGCTGTGCTGCTGCTGCTGCTGCTGGTAGTGGTGCTGCTGTGCTGCTGCTGCTGGTGGTGGTGCTGCTGTGCTGCTGCTGCTGGTAGTGGTGCTGCTGTGCTGCTGCTGCTGGCAGTGGTGCTGCTGCTGCTGCTGCTGGTAGTGGTGCTGCTGCTGCTGGTAGTGCTGCTGTGCTGCTGCTGCTGCTGCTGCTGCGCGCAGCAGCGAACGTGGTTGTTGGAATCTTTGGCGAGAAAAGCTTTAATGGAATTGTTTAAAAGACTTTGAATAAATAAATAATAATTAATTAAATTAATTAATTATTTATTTATTTAATTCAGGAACTTCCAGCAGCAGTGGACTTCAAAGTCTTGGAAACTTTTTCTCTTCTCTACTGCGGGCTGCTGCAAAGTGTTCTCTTCAAACTCTACAAGACGCAGCAGCTGCTGTACCCCCCCCGCTTAGCAGCAGCAGCAAAAGCTGCTGTTGCTGCTGCTGCTGCTGGCTCGCCCTTTGTTGCTTCTCACCGGCTGCAGCAGCCCGCCAGCAGGTTCCACTTGCTGCAGATCGAAAAAGCCCCGCAGCCAGCAGCAGCAGCAGCAGCAGAGGGAAAAGGAGCAGCAGCAGCAGCAAAAGGAGCAGCAGCAGCAGCAAAAGGAGCAGCAGCAGCAGGAAAGGGAGCAGCAGCAGCAGCGGGAAAAGAAGCAGCAGCAAGGAAGCAGCACAAGGCGCAAGAGGAAGAGCAAGAGGACCAAGAAGCAACAAGCGTTGGCAGCAGCAGCAGCAGCAGCAGCAGCAGCAGCAGCAGCGGCTCCGAAGCAGAGGAGGAGACAGAAGGGGAGGTTGAAGAAGAGACAAAAAAGGAAAAGAATGCAAAAGGAAATAAAATGAGCAGCAAAAAGAAAGAACGAGCAGCAGCAGCAGCAGCAGCAGCAGCAGCAGCAGAAGAAGAAGAGGAAGAAGAAGAAGATGAAGAAGAAGCAGCAGCAGCAGCAGAAGATGAATCAGCAGCAGAAGATGAATCAGCAGCAGACAGCAGCAGCAGCGAAGATGAAGACACAGATGAGGAGACAGAAGAGGAGGCAGAGGAAGAAGCAGCAGAAGACAAAGCAAAGGCATGCTGCTGCTGCAGTTGCTGCTGCTGCTGCTGCAGTTGCTGCTGCTGCTGCTGCACGTGCTGCTGCTGCTGCTGCACGTGCTGCTGCTGCACGTGCTGCTGCTGCTCCTTTTGCTGCATTTGTTGCTGCTGCTGCTCTTGCTGCTGCTGCGCGTGCTACCGTTGCTTCTCTTGCTGCAGCCGCTGCTGCTGCGTCGTCAGCTGCATCTCTTGCTGCTGCTGCTGCGTTTGCGGCCCCACACATCTGCCTGCGTCATTTGCTGCTGCTGCTGCTGCTGCTGCTGCTGCTGCTGCTGCTTAGGAAGCAGCAAAAGAGACGGAGAGTGCCGTGGAAATATGCGAACCCCATCCCGTCCAGGATCTGTTCAAGGGCCTAGTTTTCTTTCTCTGCAGGTTTGCTGCTGCTGCTGCTGCCAATCTTGCTGCTGCTGCTGCTGCTGCTTCAGCTTTCGCAGTTGCTGCTGCTGCTGCTGCTGCTTTTGCGGCCTTTGCAGCCGTTGCTGCTGCGGTTGCTGGCGGGTTTGCGCTGCTGCTGCTGTCGGCGGCTCTGCTGCCCCCAGCCGCTGCTGCTGCTGCTGCTGCTGCTGCTGCTGCTGCTGCTGCTGCTGCAGGGAGACGCCGCTGCTGCCGCTGTGCTTCGCCATTCGAAGCTGCGGCGGCACTGTGGGGTGGCAGTCCGAAGGGTCTCCTTTTGAATTGAAAGACAACAGAATAACTCACCAAGTCGTCGACAGGCCTCCAGAGTGTAGGGTTTAGGGTTTAGGGTTTAGGGTTTAGGGTTTAGGGTTTGGGGTTTAGGGTTTGGGGTTTCCAGAGTGTAGGGTTTAGGGTTTAGGGTTTGGGGTTTGGGGTTCCCAGAGTGTAGGGTTTAGAATTTGGGGCTTGGGGCTTGGGTTTGGGGTTTGGGGCTTGGGTTTAGGGTTTGGGACCTGGGGTTTGGGTTAAGGGTTTAGGGTTTAGGGCTTAGGGTTTGGGACCTGGGTTTAGGGTTTAGGGTTTGGTTTTAGGGTTTAGGGTTTAGGGTTTGGCGGGGCACGAGTTTTGCTGCCCTCGGCGCCGCGTCTGCTGCAGCCCCGCCGCGCACCCAAATCCCCCGCTGCTGCTGCCGCTGCTGCTGCTGCTGCCGCTGCTGCTGCTGCTGCTGCTGCTGCTGCAGATGTGCTGCAGCAATGCGGCGAGGACTTAGCAGCAAAACGGGAACTGGTGCAGCCGCAGTGGGTCTTTGACTGCATCAATGCTTGTTTGCTGCTGCCGACTGAAGACTACAAACCCGGGAAGCAGCTGCCGCCCCACTTGTCACCTTTTGTAGTAAGCAGCAGCAGCAGCAGCAGCAGCAGCAGCAGCAGCTGCTGCTGCAGCAGCAGCAGCAGCGGCAGCAGCAGCAGTAGTAGTGGCAGCAAGAACATTTTCACCCCGTAGCTGCAGCAGCAGCAGCACCAGCGACTTCAAATTGCGGAAGAAATAGCTCTTGTGGAGGGCTACATGATCGCTGTTGCTGCTGCTGCTGCTGCTGCTGCTGCTGCTGCTGCTGCTGCTGCTTAGGATGATGAAGCTGAGGGTTACATCCCGCAGCAGCGAGAGGTGATTTGGAAGCTACAAAAGGCGAACAAAAAAGCAGCAGCAGCAGCAGCAGCAGCAGAAAACAACCAGGAGGAAGAGTCGGACAGTGATGGTAAGCGCCAGCAGCAGCAGCAGCAGCAGCAGCAGCAGCAGCAGCATATGCAGCAGCAGCAGCAGCGACAGCAACATGTGCCTTTATATTTTCAGGGCCTGCAGATGATCCTGAGGCCTCTTGGGAACGCCAGAGAGGAGCAGATATAGAAGAAGAAGCAAAGGCAAGCAGCAGCAGCAGCAGCAGCAGCAGCAGCAGCAGCAGCGGCTGCAGCAGCTGCAGTTGCAGTGGCAACAGCAGCTGCTGGTGGGAGCGCAGACAGTGTCTTTAAAGGGTTCGGGTGTATGTACACTGTGGCGTGTCTTCAGGGCAGCAGCGAAACCAGCGCCAGCAGCAGCAGCAGCAGCAGCGGCAGCAGCAGCAGCAGCAGCAGCAGCAGCAGCAGCACTTCACCGGCTCCTCCCCGCAAATCGTAGGCCGCTCTCGCCAGCTTTGCCCCTCAACAGCAACAACAATAACAGCAACAGCAGCAGCAGCAGTAACAGCAGCAGCAGTAACAACAACAGCAGCAGCAGCAGCAGTGACAACAGCAGCAGCAGCAGCAGCAGCAGCAGCAGCAGCAAGGAGTTTGCTTCGGCTTTGTTTGCATGCAGGCGGAAGGAGGAAGCAGCAGAAGAAACTCTGAAGCAGCAAAAGGCCCTTATGAACAAAAAGCATAAAAGACTTTACGAAAGAATTGAGGTAATACCCAAAGAAACAAGTTGCTGCTGCTGCTGCTGCTGCTGCTGCTGCTGCTGCTGCTGCTCTACGTGCTGCTGTTGTTGCTGCTGCTGCTCTAGATATTGCTGTTGTTGCTGCTGCTGCTGCTGTAGATAGTGTTGCTGTTGTGCTGCTGCTGCTGTAGGTATTGCTGCTGCTGCTGCAGTTACTGTTGCTGCTGTAGATGCTGCTGCTGTTGTAAACACTGTTGCTGCTGCTGCTACTTTAAGAACTGTTGCTGCTGCTGCTAGTGCTGTTTGCTGCTGTTTCTGCTGCTGCTGCTGCAGTTTGGGCGAAAACGGAAAGAGCAGCAGGCGGAAACCCTCAGAGCCAAGAGAATGGCACTGCAGCAGCAGCAGCAGCAAAAGAAGCAGCAGCAGTAAGCAGCAGCAGCAGCAGCAGCTGCTGCTGCTGCTGTGCACTTTTCTCAGCATATTTATGGAAAGGTGCATTGGCAAATGTACTAGCAGCAGCAGCAGCAGCACACGCTGGTGCTGCTGCTGCAGCTGCTGCTGCTGCTGCCGCGTTCATCCTGGGGCCCCCCAGCAGTACCCTGGGGGCCCCTCTAGGCTTTGTGAAGTTTGCTGCTGCTGCTGCTGCTGCTGCTGCTGGGCCCAAGCAGCAACTCGGTGGCTTAAAAAACATCTGCAGTTTAGATTTAGGTCTTATCAAGTATCAGTAATCAAGTAGGGTTTAGGGTTTAGGGTTTAGGGTTTAGGGTTTAGGGTTTGAGTTTCAAAGCCTTCTCCCTTGAAGGCAAGCGGCTGCCGCTTCGTCTTAGTGTAGCAGCTAACTGGCCGGCTGTTGCTGCTGCTGCTGCTGCTGCTGCTGCTGCTGCTGCTGCTGCTGCTGTTTCTACCCTTCTTTGGAGCTGCAGCTAGCTATTTGTCGCTAATTTTCACAGCATTCTCTAAACCCTAAACCACCAATAGTAGTTTTTTAAAATTAGGGTTTATAAATTGCTGCTTAGAGTGTTTTTTTGCATAAGAAAGGGGGGCCACCAAGGCAGCGTGGGGGGCCCCCCTCCCCGCTGCGGCTTGGGGGGCCCCCCGCGGCTGCCTTCTCGCTAGCCAGCGCCACAAAAAGGGGCCAAAAGTGTTTAAATAAGAAATAAAATAAATAATTTAATTAATTTAGTTTTAATTTGCGAGATTTAAAGCTCCATTTGGCTGTTTTGAGGGCCAGGGCCGGCGCTCAGGGGCCCCGAGGTCACTCCGTGCGGCGGGCGGGAAGGAGAGGCGGGGGCTCAGCTGGGAGGAATTAATGCGAAGAAAAGTGAAATGTTTGTCAAAAAGAATTAAAAAAATAATTAAAAGGTCCATTTAAAAGGAAAAAGCTGAAAAGTTTGCTGCTGCTGCTGCTGCAGAGCTGCGGTGCTGTGCTGCCTCGCGACTGGCGAGGCCGCCCGCAGCCTCTGGAGCCTCCTTTTGCTTTTATTTCTTTTCTTTTCTTTTTCTTTGCTTTTATTTTTTAAATTTATTCTTTTTAATTTCAAATTCGGCTTTTTTCGCCGCCAGGAACTCCAAGAGGGGCTTTTCCCGCGCCAGCTAGTGCAGCAGCTGCTGCTGCGCTGCAGTGACCCGCGCGCAGGGCTCACAGCAGCAGCAGCAGCAGCAGCAGCAGCAGCAGCAGCAGCAGCAGCAGAGTTTGTGGGCCTTGGGGGCCCCCTGTTTAAGTGCTTTCCTCCTTTTGGGGGCCCCCTTTCGCTGGGGGCCCCTCGCAGCTGATGACCCTCGAGGGGGCCCCCGCCCCGTGGGGCCCCCACAGCTGTTCTGCTGCTTACATAGACCCTTGCTGCAGCAGCAGCAGCAGCAGCAGCAGGTGCAGCAACGAGGTTTTCGCGCTGCAGCAGCCCGCGTGGTCTCCTGCTGCTGCAGTTGCTTCTGCTGTGTACAGCGAGGGCCCCGGGGGGGGGGGGGGCCCCCCCTCCGGGGGGGCCCCC